AGCGTGAAACTGCCACCGACACGGAAGGGCCACGCATTGCGAGCTATGTTGTCAAGTCGCTGAGGCGATCCTCCGTGGTGGTCTAGTGCTTATGGTGCTCGAATCCTGATCCGAAGCTCGAGGGATCGAATCCCGACCGCGGTGGTCGCGCTTTCGATGGAGACGAAAATGCTCGAGGCCCGCGTACTTCGATATTGGAGCACGGTAGAGAACCCCACGAGGTCGTAATTTCCGGAGCCATCCCTTACGGCTTCCCTAATTGTCATAACGTGCTTTAGGGACGTAAAACTCGAACAATAAAAAAATTCGAATTTAAACGCTTCACTGAGGCGGCTATGAATCGTATGCGCGACAAGTATATATGCTACACTTCTAGGGGCCGTCTCTTTACTTCTGGCAAATAATAGTTGAGAAGAGACGGTTGTTATCCCTAAGCTGTAGCGCTCTTTTTCTTTTTTGTTTGAGATATTTCTTGGTATGCTGCGGGAAAAAACTGTTTTTGTTGTTACTTTCATATTAGGAATTGTAGGTGCTGAAAGCACCGCATATGCTATGTCGACTTTTTCACAAGAACACAAACTTTTCTGCCATTGACTCTGAGAGTCGCAAGCTTTCGAAGACACGTCGTGTCATCGCCAGCTGCGTGAAGCCGAAGAACCTGCGTGCAAGCGCGAACGCTAAGATACGTTCAAAGTCCGGTCGTTCCTGAACGCATACAGTCTGTCAAAATGCGCGGGTTGCGGAACTGGGGGAATATGCTGCAGAAGCGATGTTAGCCTCGCGAACTATCTAACATAATTCAGTGCATTAGGCACACCTTTTATTTCTTTTTTTTAGTGTTTGTTCTGTGCCTAACAAGAGTACAACGACGCCGCGTCACTTGCATGATGCCCCGATTTGGAATTTGCCGACGGGAAGCATGTTTCGCCGTGCAAACCACGCTGTCTCCCGCGCGGAGCAAACGTTTCAGAAATAGCACGAAGGCGTGTCGCACACTCTTCAGAGCCCATCGACCAAGGCTCCGCCAAAGAACGAATCGAAAGCTCTAAGTGTTGCCACTCTGGCCGCACAAAAGGAAAACACTCGCCGTTTGACAACCTGTGTCATTATTTTTTTTCTTCTTTTCATAAAATGTTTCGAGACCATCTTATGAAATAAACTGCAATGGAACGGCTGCTTCGATTTCGCCACGTAATGATTTTTTTCGTAATACTTTTTTTAACCACCTTTCTCCGACGGTGTCCACTCTAGGAGGCATCCAGTCGGCTGGTGGCTGTTTCTGAGAGCTAAGCGAAAGCACACCACGTTTATCGTCACAGAACAGACGGTTCTCAGGGAGTTGAGTATGCATGTTACTTACAATAGAATGGTAAATTTACCATTTTACCTGAAAATTTTTATTCTAGAACATTCCGCTCGAAAACCATACTAACTATAACTCTGAGGCACACATCAATGGGCGAGCATTCGCGAACTTTCACCAGCTTTTATTACATCTTTTGATGCGCACCTAAATAAAAGTACACATATGTTTTTGTGCTCCGCGCTTATCGAAATACGGCCACCAAGGCCGGGAATCGAATCCACGTTCTCGAGCTCACCAGCGTCGAAACTTCACTGGCCAAGATACCACGGCGCGTGGCGGCACCGCTTAGATACTCTGTTAAACTGATGTCGAGAATCCTTTGATTCGCCGTTTTATGCGACGAGGCTTCATATGTTGCGTTCCACTCTCAAGTAGGTCTACAATGTAGGCGCGCTGTGGTATCAAGGTGACCGGTATACGCTACAAACTTCAACGAGAGGTCGTAAGCAGCATGAATCAAGTGATACAGATGATGTATGAATACCGGAATAATTGCGTTACTTGAGCGGCTGGCGGCTTGCAATATTGAAGAACACTGGTTTTTGTTTGCTTTTTGTATCGCGTAGGAAATCACATCCGGCATCACTAACGCTCCTGCGACTAGTCATTAATCAGGACAGCGCTAAGTGAGTTCCTCATCGTCTGCGCCATGGCATGGCTCACAACTGCAGGATTGAAAATGTGCGGTGTAGTGTTAACATATTCATTTAACAGAAATGTTTTGTAGTTATTAAGCAGCTTCGAGAAACGCGCATTTCAAACTTTCCGGCAAAACCCAACGACATCTTTATTTCCGCCTAGCAGCACCGAATTGATCTACGTTTTCAAGGTTAATAATTAAAGAAAAAGTGCCACAACTGATATTATTAGTAAAAACAATACGCACATTCAACGCACATGTCAATGTCCCTGCGAACCGAACATTCCAGCAAAGCGAAATGCTATATGTATATAACTAAGGAGATACATCTTTTTGCGTTCATTTTTATCCTATCGAATGCATAATCAAACGCACCGTATTGTTTATGCCTAGCAAAGGTCACAGCTTATAGAATGACAATGTCGCACTTTAACGTAAATATACTACGGCGAGGGAAAGAAACAAACGCAAACAGTGCGCCATCTCCGCACTCTGCGATTCACGTTTCTTTTCAAGCAGGTTTAACGTGGCTGGTAATAAAAAGACACAAGTGACTCTAGCTTCTTTTATGATCATCAAGAGTGCGATAGAAACAAATGCGAACAGAGGAGCACTAACGCACTGTGCTCTTCGCATTTCTTTCTATTAATATTGTAGGAGTACTTGAGGTTTCTATACCCTTGGTTCATCGCCCTTCGTTCAGATGCGTCTCTACAATGGGTACCCAGAGACACTTACAGATTGGCCAGATCGTGTCAGAGAAACCAAGAGAGTGAGAGAGTGTGATGGTAATTGAAGAAATTAAATAAATAAATCAAATAATTTACTTTCATACAGGCCGCTACCAATGGGCCACATTATATAAGCTTTGTACTTAACAATAAGATGGGTCACTTGGGGTGGCGTAACTATATATCCCGAAGGCGAGAACAGCACTACTAAATACTGAAGTTTCCACAGGACTATGGCAATGGTCGGGTTCCGGTGTAGCTGCTGTGCTGTTTTTATAAAACAAGAATTTCATTCGACATTTAGGATGGGAATGCGGGCTATATATATATATATATATATATATATATAAAAGAAGGAAAGACGTCAAAATTTAAGGGCTCGTTTTCCTTTGCTAGACATAATATTAATGAAAACTAACAGACAATTGTGCCAAGAAAGCTATAGGAGATGTGATTATTTAAGTATTTGTAAATGCGAAGAAACGAAGAAATGGACGAAGAGATAACTTGTCGCCGGCCAGAACCGAACCTGCGACTTTCGATTTCGAATGACGGAGGTTCGATCCCTGCCCGTGGTGAGTCATCTTTTCGTCCACTTTTCTTTGTTTTTATTTATATTAGAATTACTTCTAATGACATCCCCTATGCTTTCCTTGGCATTATTTTCTGTTAGTTCTTATGAAAACGAGAACAAGCATTTAACACCTAAGCGTTTCACGAGAAGAGCAAGGAGCAGTACGCCTGCCATTCTATCGTTTTTCTATCACAGCCAAGTAAATCCTCTCGCAATTAAAATATGTTCATCCCCCTTTCATGCACATCTACACACAGCACATACATTTTCTGCTCGAACATGGCCCAGCATGCATGACTTGTATGGATGTGAACACGTAAATCTATACAGGCTTCCACCACAAAGTGTTTTGTCTACAATAAACAATTACTGCAGTATAGTTGATTTTTCGACTAATGAATGTCGTAGTTCTGACTATCACGATGAAAGTCAGGAAGCAAACGACATCATTCGAACTTAAACTTAAATCTTCAATAGTGGCTTTAGAACGCATCTTGAAATCTCCACTTTTATAGCGTAGGTTCATCTGAAATATTGCTAAGTATATGCCAAGGCAACATGACAACATGATCTCCGGCTGGTAAATAGCCTGAGGGGCTCGTTCGCAGTATCTGACTTCCCCCCCCTCCCAAATAGTAGCGGTAGCAGTAGCTTTAAAAATCTGCTTCATTTATTTTGTGTCGAGCTGTGGGAGGTATTGCTATACGTTAACTGTCTATATGTTCATTTCCCGTTTCCTTTGAAACCGCACCTATGCCAGCTAATATATGCAATACTTCGATGTTGACACGATTATGCATCCTCAACGGGTAGAGGCTTTGGAGTATCCCGAGAAACTTAACGGGTAAAACTGCAATAGCAAAAAGCATAAGTGCGGTAAAACAGACGGTCTGCCAATCTTCAACACAATGTTCCGGGAATATTTAATAAATTTCAGGTAAAATTTTTTCTGAAGCCCAGAAGCAAAATTTTAAGCATTACCCCAGAGGCATTGGTTTTCAGTCTATTAGAGAACACAAATAAATATACGCACATTTAAATAACTTAGGAAAACGATTTTCAATGCAGCCTATAGTATATCCGCTGGTAAGACAGGTGACGCTGGTTTTTTTTTTGAGGAAAAAAAAGGGGGCGGTGCGCAAACTTTGTGAAGCTGTCACGATCACGAATGCACGTGTGTAAGACTGGACTTCTGACGACTTTTGATTGTTTTACTGGATCTGGTAATCTCATTCGTTACCCATACTAAGATGAGCCTGACTGAAGAACCTGAGGTACTTACAAGTAGACCAACCACTGTCGCCCCAATATTAGAGATAAGTAGTCCGCTGAATATACAACGCTTCTTCGCTGATAACTTCATCACGAATAAACCAGGTTGTTTTCACCAACGGAAGCGGCAACGTAAAGTTCGTGGCCAGGCGCGCAAAGAAACCACGAAGAAACCTAAGAAGTGAAATTCCCCCAGCCCCCGTCCATTTTCTTCCTTGGGACTGGTGGGAGTTTATTTTATAACATATAATGCATATCGTATTTCTTGAACTCTTGATCTGCAAGGCTGCTCTGATAATAGCCTTGGACAACTCGTGAACACCTACCTTGGTGTTGGCAGAGCACTCCCGGCATGCCCTTAGCACGGGTACCATACGCTTCCTCAGGCGTCGCGTTTTTCTACTTCGCCAGGACCGGCTATAGTGGGTTGAGCAGGCCGTTGCGAAGGCTTTTGCTCCCCGCAGCGATGTTGGACACACTGGAGCGGAAATGGCGAGCCTCCGGCCTCCACGACTCCGTGTTGTTCTTCGGGAAGTCGGGAGAGTCAATGCTGAAGCACACCAGGATCATGCCTCTGTCCCGGTACGACTGGGGTCGCAACCGGTCGTAGTGCTCCCGCCCCGCTGAGCCCCACAAGGCCAGCTCGATCTGGACCTCGAAGGCGGTGACGTACTTCCCGAATTCCATAGGCACAGAAGCGATTGCGAGCTCACACTCACCGATGACAATAAAAGTAGATGTCTTGCTGCCCGCATCATCCTCAACGCACACAAGTTTGTTGTGTTCTGGGTTTTCAGTTTCAGTTTCAGATTGACATGTGAGGATGCCAGGGGGCGCCGCTCTGGCATCTAGGATTTCAAGGCGACTGTAAAATAAATGAGTGTGTGTTAGATAACCGTGGAGTGCGGTTGTTGTGCTTTCTTTCGGCGCTTCGCGCCAACCCGCGTGTTCGGGCTGGTCGGTGTCCCCGCCGGCCGCGTACGTCTCCGTCGGCCGTCTTCTTCTGCTTCGTCGGGACCAGCCAGCCCCAATACAGCAAAGTTCCTTTCCGATCACCGTCATTTCTCGTCTTCCTGGCGGTGCAAAAACGTTTTGTTTTGTTTTGTCGCCTAAATTATGGCTTCCTAACGTGTCACTTCCTAAGATGATGATGATGATGACGATGATGATTCCACAACCATGTCTCGTACCCACTAAGGGGGTACTTTCTAAGCCACTTCCTTCTTCTTTTTCTTCTTTGATTCCTCTTTCTGAGAAATTCCCTCTAAAAAGTTAACTGAAGTCTACTCATCACATTGACCGCACACACTAAACATCCCAATGTTATCACTTATCTACGAAAACAGTTTAGGTGGCCTCCGGGATTTGTTTTACCAACTGTTTTTTAAGGTGAAAAATGACACTGAATTCGAAGTAACTTGATGATGCTCTGGAAACAACAGCACCAAGAGAACGAAGTTATGGAGGTAGCCGATTACCTGGAGTGGGTATAAGTCATGTTTGAGGTATCATCATCATCAGAATAAGGACAAAAATACACAAACCACCGAATACGTATATTAAAATTAGATACAATTTGCAAACGACTGACTATTCAGAGCGAGGTCTGACAGAATCATTATTATTTATCACTTTGTGACAATGTTCAGTGCAACAACATGTAGCAAAACCCGTCACACCTACTTTAACGGCATACAGAGCAAAATTTGTGGCTTCCCCTCTGAAGACAGTGACGAAAGTTCTTTTTGTATACTGGAAATTCTGGCCTTTAAAGGTTAAATCAACGTACACACAAACCTTTAAGTCACTGCGTTTTCTTCGTTACGAGCGAGAAGCCGTCGGACAAGCTAAACTAAAGTTGGCTGCGAAAATTGACGAGAATATAAAAAAATACATCTGAAATATCCAGTATGCCGCGCAGACCTAGAAACAGCAAACATGGTTGATCCTGAAGACTAATCTGATTGCTTCATATTGTAACAAGGACTTAGCTATAGGTGATGCCGGTTCCTTTCTAATTTGCTTCTTGGTCGTTGCTAGGCTTGCACTAGGCGACGATGTAGATTGTTTTCCCCGTTGATTTTCACCGTAAAGGGCTTTGATACTTTTCTGATAGGCCGCAAATCAACACATACCCGTTTGGTAGGCTAATTTCTATCATCTCTTTTGCTGGACCAGTACTGGAACGTACCCCATTTCTGTGCCACATTTTGATGATGATAGTTTGTGTGGGTGTGTGATAAGCGACCAAGTGGCTCATACCAGATTGGCCGTGCAAATTACGGCTAGCCTAAAAAGATTCGCTGTTAATAAATTCTGGTACTTGGCGTGCCAAAACAGAGATCCGATGTTCAGGTACGCTATGGAGGGCTGTACAGAATAATTGCAACCAGCTGGTTTTCAACGTCAACTAGAAATTAAACGAGACCTTTTGCATTCTCGTACATTTCAATGATGTCGTGCCTGTGAAATGGGAGCCCACAAACAAAGCCACTGGGTTACATAAGCGAGTGATCTGTTGTTGGCGAACCCAAACTGTTGATACAATGGTAACACAGGGCTGCAGCGGAGAGTTACCTCTTTTTCACTAAGGTTTCAGTATTCCATCTATATAGGTAGCACATAAAAATTTCTAATGTTAAATTCTACAAATCGCAGCGATGCCTAGGTGGGCTCATGGCCCATTTCGGGAAATCACTGCACCACCTGCGCGTACCAGTGCACGCGGGATAGTGCAATTCCTCGAAAATGATATAAGTTCAATCGAGGCACAGAGTAGTGAACGGAGACATATCAGTGCCTGTAGTTAAGGCACTGCTGCGACACAACCTCCTCCAGCTCCCGTATTGGTTTCATTGTAGGGACAGGGCGGTGTGTATGAATAATTCAACAGGGTAAGGTTTAATATGTAACTCATAACAATTATCGTCATCGTCCTCTTCTTGACTTACAAGGCGGCCCTTTTCACCACTTCAAGCACCTGGCGCACACTGTCCTCGATCTATGTTTCACATAGGGGCGCAATCCTTCGATTCAGGACGCCCTTCCTCGGGCGCCGCGTCCTCCAGCAGCGTTACGCCTGGATGCAACTTCGTGAACAGATCGTCGCGAAGGTTGTTTTCCGTAAAGATAATGGGTACGATCGAGCAAAAGTGGTGCATGCCCGGTCACCCCTACTCCAGCTTGTTATTCGCGACGTCCGGTGAGTCCATGCTGAAACACTTGACGATCACATCTGTGCATGATACAAAATACCACCGGTCGGAGGGATCCTGCGCCGCTGCAACTTCTCCGACTCGGTGAATTCCAATAGGGAGTCGGAGAGTCGATGCTGAAGCACGTGCGGACGACGCCGGCTGCAAGTGCATTGAGTGCAAGCGATTCGTCTGTACCGAATACGACAGAAGCGTTGTGAGAGATACGGCACTGCTGCACCACATCCTGCGAAGAGTAGAGCGAGTCGATGGCGAACTGCCCTTGGATGGCATCGGCGTCTGGTTGCAGCTTGCAGCCTTTACCGGTTAGCTTTTGTCCCTTGGACATGCGCGGGCCGTTGCTCACATGCTTTCGTCTTCCCCCTAAGAAGTTCACTTTGGAGCGGGATCGGAGCAGGGCTGGCCTCTTCGACTCGGGGATGGTCCTGAGGCACTCAGGCAGTGTGAACCGAAGAAGGTCAGGACGACGTAGGTGCCCCGGTGTGATCACGGCCGACACCATTGATGGGCTTCCTGCCTCGGCGTATCCCAGAACACCAGTGCAACGTGTGTCGACTCGTCCTCAATGTCGGTGACGTGTTTCACGACGGCAGTAGGTAGACGGGCCTCTAGTGACCTGACCTTGCTTACGTGACACGTCTTCCACGGGCGTTGCCCTTCTTCTACTTCTTCGTGCACCTTTTTACGTCTTGCTTCCACAAGAAATTGGCAACTGTAAATTGGTTCGACAGAAAAATGGTTTTGACGCCCCAGTCTAAACTACCGGCTAAATAAAACAGCGTAGTGAAATGTGCACATTCATTTTGATCAGGTAACACTATTTATTTTAGCATTTTTTAACATTTTATCATCTTAACGAAAGTCAACCTAATAGCATGCACACGAGCAATGAAAACGACGAAACACGGGCGTTATTTTGTCATCTTCTTCGCTCACTACGCAATTTTTCCGCAGTTTGTTCATGAAAGCTGCCAATTTGCTCTCTCCTTTCCTGTATTTTGTGCATATGTGTATGCAAATACAGAATTATTAATAATAATAATAATAATAATAATAATAATAATAATAATAATAATAATACTAATAATAATAATAATAATAATAATAATAATAATAATAATAATAATAATAATATATAATAATAATAATATTAATAATAATAATATTGATAATAATAATAATAATAGTAATATATGAAGAAGAAGAAGAAGTGTAGTCCAAGGGAAAGAGAGGCATATAAAAGCTTTATACAGCAACACACACACACATCTGTGTATATCGCGGGGACATTAGGACAAATCAGCCTGCACCAGTACCACTAAATTATTGCGCTTTTTTTTCCTGCGATTGACATGTAGCTGGCCAAAATTTCGCTACGCAATTCCAGGCATAACTGAATTTAGCCACAGCTATTTTTTTTGTTCTTTGAAATCACAATGCTCCTAGGCAGCTATTGATGTAGCGAATGATCCACCTCAATTTTTCTCGAGGGGCCAGGTAAAGATGGCAGAACGAACTAAACGTTATCAAGACATCAGCGCAAGAAAAGCTCTTCCAACCCTCAATGTCTTCTCACCGGGGACGGAAAGTGGTTCGTCTTTTGTTATAACATGTATATACTATGTTCGTCATCTCAATATACAATGTAGCCTTCATCATAGCATGGGATAATAAATTTACTTTTTATGATATTCAGCCTGTGTAAAGTAGTAATTTCTACACATTCCGGCATCTCGCACACATCGCATTTGGTTTTGGCGCAGAACTTCAGATGAGCCGTGGGCGTTGGTCTTCTTCGCCATGATTCGCATCTGTACAGGCGCCGAATTTGCAGGCTTCTTCATGGCCGGATCTTCAAGCATGAAGAAGAGGTTGCAAAGTGTTTTCTTCACCTAAAAAAAAATTGGCAGCGCCTGGGATCAATCATGTGGCGAACCCCCGTCTTCGCGAACTCGGCGTTCTTCACCGGGCAGTTGGGGGAGTAGATGCTGAAGCAGGTAAATATCACGTTTTGGTTTCATGATAGCTGGAACTGAACGTAGTCTCCTTCGCCCGCTGTATCCCACAAGGCCAGGTCTACCTGGCTGCCGTCGACATGGATGGCGGTAATGCAGCGAATTGCGATGGCGGTCGCAGAAGGTAGATCCTCGCTGAAGACGATCAGAGGACATGTGTCGTACACTTCACCACCTCTATTGAACAGGGCGAATTTCGTGGTCACCGCGATCTCTGGCATTGCTGTAGAGATCCAAAATAAGTTGGTTGCTTGGTTGGTTGGTCCTTTCAACTTCTGGCGCAACACAGCATGGGGAATCAGCTACAAAATAGACCGAACCTTATCTAAGCAATAAAATTGTTTTGCCGGCAGAATACGTTCGGATTTGGATGTTGTAAAGTGTGAAAATCACGATTTAGTCGCAATGAGGCCCATCTCCAAGCGGCTTTGCTCTTCAGTTACTCCACTTAAGCTTTATTTGCAACGCAAACCAGGAGCACCGGGCTAACACTCAACAAATTAGGTTAATATATTTATAAACCTTTTTGATATCAAAACGTCGTTAGGAATTTGCGCGCTGTTTTATACAAACTAGGACTGCATAAAAAACAGAAAGCTGACCTGAGTAGATACATAGTTTCTTTGATAGGACAACGACAGGAAGACGAAGAAGTTTTGAAATGATAATATTAGACCCTACAATTAGCAACATACGCCCGATTCAAAAACAGGCGCCCCAATAAGTAGCGCCATCACACCATAAAGCACCCATTATCCAATCCTTCGGCATTAATGCCGCAATAAATGACCCATACCCCATGTGAATTTGGCCATACCGTTGAGTATAGAGTAGAGAAAACACCCAGGCTGAGGTATTGGCCAAGAACCGGATAGTTTGTGTAGTAGAATTCTATAACAAAAAGTTCAAGATTGGTGTATTTAAAATACAGTAAAAGATTCAGCGGGAACATTTTCTTTTTTAATTCAAGTTTGCCGCTTCATGGGATATATTCTATCAAATTTAATTTGTATTCCAATAATAAAAAGAAATTCGGAAAGGTACGAAAGAGGAGCAACGACTGTTTTCAACACATGAATCTCTCTGAATCTTCTGACGTATTCCTGCAGGGCATCCGCCACCTTCCCGTCACAGTGGTAAAGATACAAAGCCCCAAAAGAAATCAGTTTATCCCTACGTAACTTTGTTTTCTACTTCGCATCTCCCTACAGCGAGCTGTGAATACAGCACATCAACTAGCGTCGTACTTTGAAAGAACACTAACATCAATTTCATTGCAGGATTAGTCGGCACTGCACCAAGATAAGATGGTGGCCCGTTTAAAGTTCCAATAAAAACGTCCGGAGGTTTCGAGGAAGGTGTTTTTTGCCAACTTACTTCTTCGGTACCCAGAAACAAAACTGACCTATCCGCGGGTTAGAGCTGGCTATAGGTAAATCACGAGAAATTTCACGTCCACAACTTTATACGAAATACACGGTCACGTAAGTGCACTGAAGCTTCACCATTGTATCATAAGAAATGTATGCCTTAAAACAACGGTGCACTGGCGAGGCACTCGTTACATATTATTATATGAGCAATTGTGGTTACTTTACAGAATCGATAATACGTTTCGTATATGCTAATGTGTGATGTTCTCGAAATCTCCACCTCCGTCGGCTATTTGTGTCCCCGAAATAAAGCCATGTATATCTCATGGCTACAGGATCTCCCAGCTGTTAAATAGCATTCTTCTTCTTCTTCTTCTTCTTCTTCTTCTTCTTCTTCTTCTTCTTCTTCTTCTTCTTCTTCTTCTTCTTCTTCTTCTTCTTCTTCTTCTTCTTCTTCTTCTCCTTCTTCTTCTTCTTCTTCTTCTTCTTCTTCTTCTTCTTCTTCTTCTTCTTCTTCTTCTTCTTCTTCTTCTTCTTCTTCTTCTTCTTCTTCTTCTTCTTCTTCTTCTTCGAGTCCTCCTTCTGAGAATTTCCCTCTAAAAAATAAATGGCAGTCCAAGCTGCACTGAACGCATAAACTAAACATAAACTAAAAACGCATAAACTAAAAAGCACTTATGCGGGGTCTGTATTAAGCTGTAGGAAATTATTTGTGTTTGTGTGTGAGAAATCACGGTGAATAAGGAGGAACTTGAAGATGCTCTCTGAGCAACAACACGAAGAAAACAAAATTAGATAAACCATGGAGTACTTATATTAGGAAATTTTTGTTACAATTTAAATATATATAAGTAGAACGAGGGCAGAAAAAAAGTAACATTATTTATCACTACCTGACAATAGTGGGGCATTATGTAGCAAAAGTTGTGAAGTCTACTATAGCGACATACGGCGCAAAATTTGTGGCTTCTACCACACGAAGAAAAAGACAGACGAAACTTCTATTTGCATACTCAAAATGCTGGCCTTTTAGGCTGAAAAAAAAAAAACGTAGACAGAAACCTTCAAGGCACTGCGTTTGCTTTATATCGAGCGAAAAGTCGTCGGCCGTGCAATAATAAATCTGGCTGCGAAAAACAACGCGAGTTTACACACACAAAAAAATTGGTTCGAAATCTCCATGTTACACCGCAAATGTAGTCGAAAGACGATAGTCTTGCGTCTGGAGAGAGTGAAGAAAACGTATATTGGATGTTCTGCGCAAGAAAATCAGTGAATAGCATTCTGGAGGCGCTGCGTTAGAGTGCCTCGAGCGTGTAGCGGAGGCGAACGAGCGCATCGAGGAACGTTAGACACAAGTGCCATCTGGCAGTTATCTTCGAAAACGAAGGCATGCAGCCCGCGGAGAAAGATGCGCGCCAGTCTCGGAGGTGATAAGGTGTAGAACGCAAAGCAACGGGCAGGTGCCACCACCGTGACTTCGTAGAAAAGCGTTGGAAACATCTTATTGAGCATCGCGTTGCACTGTCAGCGCAGCGCGATAAACGCTATACATTCCTTAGAGTTACTTGTGTGTGCCTCTTCTAGTATAAAGGCAGACATACAAAACTTCGAAGTATTGTTATGGCGCCTCAGATATGCGCAATAATTGCTTTTTAATTGACAATCGTACAACTATGAACGCTAAACCTTGAGCATATTGGTTGGCGCTGCGAATGGGGTTTGCCGTTTGGTGTCGTTTGAGGTACCGTTAGGGCGGACAAACAAACAAGTGTCAGACAGACAGACAGACAGACAGACAGACAGACAGACAGACAGACAGACAGACAGACAGACAGACAGACAGACAGACAGACCAAAATTTTTTCGTCGAAGGTCCCCAAGAAAGACTGTCGTTTTTAAAAGACAAAGCTTGCACTATGTCACGCTGGCTTTGAAACAGCGTAAATCGACAATAATGAAGACTAATATGATTGCTTCTTATACGTCATTACATCAGTGCCTAATTAAGACACTGCAGCGAAACAACCTGATCCAGCTCCCCTATTGGTTGCATTGTAGGGAAAAGGCATTGTATAAGAATATTTAGACATGGTAATCTTTAATCAATATCT